ATAGAATCTTTCTTATCAGACCAACTAAACAGAATAATAACACTAATTTTATTAACCTCACAGAATATTTGTAAGGCTTAATTAATGTTGGCAAACCCCATGGCTTCTAGAACCTCTTCATCGGCAGGATGCAGTCTCCAGGGCTTTCAGTCTGGCACCTTTCATGAACTTTAAATGAACTTTAATTATGAATACAAGAGTCTATATCGTGCCCTTGTACTACCACCATTCAGCTGCTGCCCTGCAGCCTGCATTGCCGTCACCAGTTTTGATTGTATCTGTTACAAGTTTTACTCATTCTAGCTGCTCCCGGCTCTTGCTCTCTCTCTTACACTGTCAGCGATTCAAAACCAGCTCCAGCAGTTCATGAATTTTTGCAGCAGTCTAAAATCTTGTGACTTAGCAGCTGTTGCAACATGGCCTAATACTTAAACCGTGATTCCTCTCCTGGCTATCCTATGAATCGGCTTTACTAATGCATGACTGCAAATGGAGTCCTCCCCTCAGTCCTTTCAGGACCCTTCATGCCTCCCAGGAGAGCAGAAATTGTGCCGAAAGATACAAGACCGTGATTGTTTAAATCCATGCCTCGAAAAGCCATGCATGCCCTGCTGTTAAGGTGTGCTTTGCATCATTGACTCAAGCCATGGATGTGTGTTGGACAAAAATGCCATAGGTGAGCACAGAGAAGCTCGACTGCTTCCAAATGATGCTACCTCAATTGGAGAAGTTGGCATAGCAGTCACAAAACAATGCAGAAGGAGAAGGCTCCATTTGGTTTTCAGAGGGAGGATGCGATATATTGAAGCACCTAATCCAGATTGCCTGTACACATGCAATTCTATCACTCTGCATAGAAAGTTTCACCCAGACACAAGGTAGAGCATGAGACAGGTCCAACAGCTTCCAGGAGCTGCTCTTCCTAGCATCTTCCCTGATCTGACAACTCCAGAAGTATTAGTGATCACAAAATCATAGATAAGGAGGTTGGAAGGGACCTCAGGAGGTCACATCTAGTCCAACCCCCTGCTCAAGGCAGGACCAGCCCCAACTACATCATCCCAGCCAAAGCTTTGTCAAGCTGGGCCTTAGAAACCTCCAAGGATGGAGATCTCACCACCTGTCTAGGTAACCTGTTCCGGTGCTTCACCACCCTCTGAGTGAGAAAGTTTTTTCCTAATAAGTTATTAGCAATAACCAACCTAAACCTCCCTGGCTGCAACTTGAGACCATTAATCCTTGCTCCGTCATCTGCTATCACTGAGAACAGATTCTTAATGAGTGATTTCTTATTATTAAGTAAATGCAGGTCTAGAGATTGTTGCAATGCTGTGTGTCCTTCCCCTTGCTCCCAGACGCATGTTGTCAGAAGGAACGCAGCAGAGAAAAGTTATCCTGTAGTTGCTAGATTAATCAAGTTGTGCTATAGACCAAATATGCCCCAGGGTACAAGGTGCTGAGCACCGCAGCCATTTCAAAAGGGAGGGGTGGATACTCAGAGCTTTTAAAAAATGAACAAACAACCTTTTCTTTTTTTAATTATAGATCACATTAAAAAAAAGAGAGTTCAAGTTCTATTTGTCATTTGGTTCTCATTCTGATGGGACACACAGTTAGAAGCTGGGGCATTTTCAAGTGTCAGTAGGTATGCCTTTTACACTGCAGAACCAAGATCCCCAATACCATCTCCACAGTGCCTTAAAAAATGTAATGCGAACACATATGGCTCAGTTCAACAGTATTTCATCCGAATAGTTCTGCAGTAAGTAATCCCAGGGACGAGCTTTGGAGCAGACCTATTAGACCTCCTTCCGGTCCAGCCTACTCCAGCCAGTGCTAGATTTCTCCTTCCAACATATTTCCCACTGTTTGTCCAGCATGTCAAGCAAAAACGTGCCAAGCAATATCACTTCCAAACATCCCATAAGCCAACCTTTTATACGGTGCTCTTTTATAGCACTACCTTTAAAGCCCAGACAAAGAGGGCAGAACCAGGGCAACCACTGCACCTTCTGCAAACACACAGAGGACCTTGCTCAGTGCTGTGTGTCAAAAGGGTCATGTTTGAGACAAGTGATTAAATTTTAGTCCTACCACATCCGAGGGAAGCAGGAGGAAAAAAAAAATGGAAAGAAAAAAAAGCACCTTTTTTGACAGCATCGAATGAGGCTGAAGAGGTGGTTGCTTAACAAGGGCTTTTAAATGATCTTCATGTAGGGCCACATCTCAAAAGTTAATAGACATAAAGAGTGTTTTACTGATTAGAGGCATTGCACGAGGCTTTCATGAGGTGACTGTAGGTGAATCCGGAAGAAAGGCTTTGCGTGCTACAATTAAGCTTTAGCCAGTGATGTGTGAAGCAATTACAGAAAATTCAGAAAGTTGAAAATGTCACAGAAATGCTGTCCCTTTGCCCTCTGTGCCAGAAATTGAGCTTTTCTCTGGAGACCCAGGAGGGCAATAGCCCAGGGAAGATCTCGTTAGGATCTTTTGTTTCAGATATTGGGTCAAATGGCCTAGCTGCTTTCTAGCAGGGAAAATGAGCACAGGAAGGAGTCTGGAGCCCAGCCCGCTTAGCTAGATGGTGTGTAATGGACCGGGATCACCAAGATCTGTGTTACGGCAAGGTGATCCTTATTTTACTGACACCCTTAATGCCGCATCACTGCCTGGACCAGCCAAGAAGTCAGACAGATCCAGGAAGTACTCTCCCCGCGTCCTGCCAATGAAGGGGTTACCTGAATCCAGATAACCCCTTCATTTTCAGGGCACAGAAAGAGTACTTATACTTTGCCACAAGAGGACTGATGCTCCTAAGTCACTTCGTTGCTTCTGAAACTGCCAAATGGGTTTGATACTCGCTCCTCACTTGCATCACACCTTGCAAAAAATGACAGCGGTTCCTGTAGCCCAGAGGATTGAAGCCTACCCTGGGTTGTGTTTGTTTTTTCCCCTTCTTCCAGCTCACGTCAGTTGTATTTCCTCTTTGGATAATGTACATTTGCAGAAAGTGACAAATGCCTTAGTAAATCTGCTCAGAAATGCCAATAAACCCCATCAGTAACTGTCTTGATCACGTGCCTATGAAAAAGGGGGCTTATTGCCATGAGAATGACAGGATCTGCCGTATCTTCTGATCAGTCAAACTCTCCAGATGTGTGCGCTCGTGTTTTACCTGCCTGACGGCCTTTTGCAGAGCAGAGGCTGGAAATTACTTCTAGAGGGCAAACTGCAGGGGAACACAAACTTCCCCTGGCCGAGGTCACTACCGCATCTGTCGAGTACAGGGGGGTTGCTTTCGCACAGCCAACAGCTGGTGCCCAATTACAATTCAGAGTCCTGATAAATTATTCTGTGATATGGGGGAATCATGAGTGATGGGGCAGTCAGTTAGAATTAAGAGGTCCAATCATCTGTGATACAATATGGGGATTGTGTCAGGCCAAACTGTAAATCAGAATTCAGAGTCCCAATTACCTTTACTATAATACGGCGTTCAGGGAGCCAGGCCACTCAATCACATGTCTAAGCCCTGAGCAGTTACAGCACTATATGCTCCATTAGGGAATAATAGCAACACTTCTGATATTGCTTTGTTGAGCTGCCATAAGCTAAAATATTGAGGATTTCTCCACACGTTGACAGTATTGGGTTTAGGTAAAGTTGCAGGCAGCGTTAGCAATATGCAAAATAAAAGCACAAATATGAGCAAAGTAGTCTTTTACACAGTGGTGATTTTTGTCATGTGGACTCTAAAGAAGCTGAACCAACATGATTTACCACCAGCATCAAAATGAAAGGGATTGTTTTGTCTCTGATTCAACAGGTATTATTCAAAATGCAAAATGCAGTTGTTAATGAAAAGAGGGCTGCGCAGAACTCGGTCATTTGGATTTGCAGAGGTCTGTCTGTACATTTTCCAGTTGGGCTCACACCCCCCAGTGAGCCCAAAGTGTGAATGAATGCAATTTCTGATGAAAGTATGCATATATAAAACCAAATTATCAATCCTAATCGGCTAGATGCTGGACCCCCTGCTTAGCAATTGTGTAAACCCAGGTGAATTCCACAATGCACACAAAGCCAGTGGTAAGAGTCTGCCTATATTGGAAAGTGCATACAGGACAACAGGGAGTGAAAATGTAAAGTGGATACTTTAATTCATTACGAAGAGAGCCTTTGCATGGTTTGGTTTAATCTACTGCCAGATCTCATGTGGAATGTGTGTTCACATAAGGAGTTAGTGTGGATTAGCTGTTGCACTGGAACATTACTTTCCCTGTGTAGTCAAGCCCAAAAGGTTAGTCCCAAAGCAGGCGTAACTCACAGTTCCAGCTGTCTTTGAGCAGAGCTCTAAATCACAGCTTTTCTGCCATCTGCTGTAGGCAAGGGCCTCATTTCCTTCTCGCCTACATGTGGGACTCCACTTACAGCAGAAGTGCAACTTAGGTGTAAAATAGGCAATAAGGGAAAAGAAAATGGGTGCCCTGTGCTGCAAGGAGAATGCACACCCTGTTGCACACCTAGTTGAACACCCTGCCTCAGTACTGGTGGTATCCCGGGTGAACACGCATAATAAATCCACACCATGTAGTCGATAGCATAATGCCATATATGCTGGGAAAGAGCTACCCTGATCGCTGAACTGGTGCTGTTAGGTTGCAAAGCATGAGATCATATCATGTCATGCTTTGACATAATGCCAAACTAAAAGCATTAGTTTTGGTCTTAAAGGGATCTAGCCCTTTTGAAAACTCTACTTAGATATTCTGGCTGTGTATTATTGAGTACCAAGTGAAAGGCTAGTCTGAGTTTTTGGCAGGAATCCTGTACAACTTCAGGAAGACACCACGTGCAGCTGGGAGGCAAATATGGGGTGGGGGGGATTAGCGTTTACCCATTGCTCTCCAGCTCGGCCTCTCATTTTGTCTGCTTGCTCAGTGAATTTGCACAGTGTCTTGGGCCAGAAGAGTGACCTCTTTGTCTTTGTTCCCCTCTAGTTATGGTGACATGGTGCCCAAGACCATTGCTGGGAAGATCTTTGGCTCTATTTGCTCGCTGAGTGGGGTGCTGGTCATTGCTCTGCCGGTTCCAGTTATTGTTTCCAACTTCAGCCGCATTTACCATCAGAATCAGAGAGCTGACAAACGAAGAGCACAAAAGGTAAGTCTTGTTCACGTGGCATCTCGCACTGACTGGCTACTGTGACTGCAGTCCTACAGATGACGTTGCTTTATGGGGACTCTAGCGCTAGCCATGCGGGTCCAGTACCATGAGAGCCCTTGTCATTTAAGGAAGAGTTAACAATGCATAAATAAGGATAAAACTGGCCATCTACCCATCCCCGTCAGGGCAAGGATCATTACAATATTGTAGTCGGTCCCTGGTCACTTGGGGATTTAACTGTTGCCATTATGTCACAGCCTAGCCACCGAGTATTATGGAAAAATAGGTACCAAATTGAGGAACTTCTCCACAAAAGCTTGCATACATAAGCTAAGAGGAAGCCTCAGCCTTTATCAGTATGGGGCACAGGATACACAAGTGTCAAGTGTAAGTCCGTGTCTGTTTAAGCAGAGAGCAGTGTGCACCCATCCTACCCATCTATCTGCATCTACCCACAAACATATGCATACACACCTACGTATATTGACCCACAAACAAATCCTCACAGCTATTATCTATACAGAGATGCAAGCTGGTTACCTACAATACAGGCTGTCTAGTCTTGTCTGAACAGTGGGTTTCCATTGTTTGTCCTTGCTATGCATCAATCTGGTTCCACTATAGCAGAAAATGTAAATCCTAATGTTTTTTCTTTATCAGAAGTTATTTATCTCTCTAGCTTCTTTTCTTATTCTATTCTGGCCTTTAAAAAAGAAAGTGCACAAACCAACCAGCTACTGCATCCCAAACAGAAAGAAGTGCTGGCTATATACAACAGCCCCTAGAAATGTTAGAGCTTTATTGAATATTTGAAAATTTGGACAGTTTTAACTAGTAAAGAAAAACCTACAGATTCAGTGCCAAAGCATAGCAGATTTATTTCAGGCCAGCCAATGTATACTACAGGTGGGATTGCAGAATCAAGGTATTTTTTAATAGCTTCTAGAGATTTAAAATTTGTTTTCCTCTGTTGGATGCTGTCTCAGTCTGCCAGGTATCCAATGCCCATGGGACACGGGGGAGAGTTGTAGTCATAAGATGCGTTATTTCTGCCCCAGGCAGGCATCTAGGCTGTCTCCCTCTTGCATCTCAGAAAGTGAAGAGGGGACCTGCCAGCCTACAAGTGTTGGCAATCTAGACCTGCAGAAGAACAAAAGGTAGACAGCTGCCATGTATGAATAAGTTGTTTCTACTGTGAATGAGCTGCAGCTATTGCCTCTAGATTCAAACTGGATCTGACTGTGGGTATTAAACCTTACAAAAAGTTGATGGGACTTTTTTTTTTAAATGTGTGTAAAGCAATATAAATATATATTTCCTGTATAGGAAAGAGTAAAACATAATATAGATTCTTTAGAATGGAAGTATGAAACATGTTCATGTTCACACACACACACACACACACACACACACACACACACACCTGTCTATTTGTTCACACAATGTATGTTTATATTTAAGAATGGAATAGTTTTCACGTCAGACCAGCGCAGAGGAAGGAAAAGTGCAAGAATTCCCCAATGAGCAGAGGGAATGCAGTTGTGTCTCAGTGCTTCATGGTGTTGAAGCAGTAATAGAGCAAAGGGGATGAAGTCCTGCCTCACTGCTGAAGCTTCTTTGAGGCTGTGACATAGGAGGGAACAAATGGTTGCATCTTCAAACCTAAGCATCTGAGGAGCAGCTGAGGAAGAAACCCAGTGTAGGGGATAGTGGGGCAGTAGCATCCATCCCACTGGTACATGTACTCCAGCGCAGTGGAAAAAATCTCTATGGTAGAGGATGTCAACCCTTTTGGTGCACAGATCACATCTAAGTGAGGCTCCCCACTTGCTTACACCAGTATAAATCATGAGTCTGTACTGAAATCAAAACAGTAATGTTAGCATGAAACTAGTGTACATGAGCAGAGTAAGACCTGTCCTCTGTCGATGCCTCTCTGCTAATTCCCAGTTGAGCACCAGCCTTGTGCAGAGTGAGTGTCAAATGCTGCCACTGAAGGTGCTGTACAACAGTCTTTGCAGGGTCCTTGATTATACTAGGAAGAGAACAGGGGATGAATGAAGCCATGTAGTTTAAGGAGACTGTAACCAAAGGAACATATATGCATTGATTCACTGGTTTCTGACACTGCAAAAGTCCAGTTGAATATTGTAGCTGAGTAAATGTTGCCCAAGGTTCTCGTCTATAAATCTGAAAATAAAATACATTAGAATAAATTCAATTAATCAAAGCCAGGTGATAGGACTGTGTCTGGCACATCTACCCTCTAGAGACAAATACTCAGTTCTAGAGACAAATACTCAGTAATTGACTTTCTTCTAATTAGCTACAATGGCACCTAGGCACCTCCTTGTCTTTTGCAGAAGAGACGGGAACAAAGCGAATAAGCATTAACATGTCTGTTGAGCTGTCCAAGTGACAGCCATTGCGACAACAGCTGTAATGAGCTGGATTTCTCCCGCAATAAAAAAACAAAGAGAAATATACTATTAATCACAAGTTTTCTAAATGCATAAAGAAAACAACCCAGGGAAATAAATACAATCTGGAGTGAGCTGTAGGAGAAATAAATAAAGCCTGCACGTACTCCAGCATCTAACTTACCACCATACGTGATTTCAGAAGAGAATATACATGGAATACCAAAGCAACTGGCACTGGTAAGAAAGGAATATAAGACTGAGATTTTAGAAGGCACCTAAGAGACTTGACTTAGGGTATGAGGAAATTCAAAGGATTTGGGTGTCAAAATCCTGTAAATGCCTTTAAAATCCGAGGCTGAATTCTTACCTTACATTCAAGATGAGGGCCTTGTTAGGTCCTGGTTAGGAAGATCCCTTGCTGAAGGTCTCCCAAGGTTTCAGCTGCCTGGATATCATCCAGGACTCCTTGACATGACCTATATGCCTGAAGAAGGGTGTTTGTGCCCAAAAGCTTGCAAAGAACAATTTGTCCAACTATTTAAGTCGGTCTAATACAAGACATCGTGTCTGCCCAAAGAGCCTTGATTTGACATGACCCATGCATGCAAAGAGCTGTGCATCTCCAGCTTCCAAAGCTGCCTCCCTGTGTTGCATCTGTTTAGTGCTGATAGGCTTCCAGTCTCCAGCAGTGTCAACCCTCTACCTTTCACCAGTGCTAGAATCTACCTTTAAAATTAAACATAAAATCCCCTCTAATGAACAATTCAATCCCAAACACCACTCTTCATCAGAATCTTAGGGGGAAAAAGCAATAAACAGGTAATGAACAGGACCATATTACAAGCATTATAATTGAATATCATGCAGCTCTGATGTTATGTGTTAATGGAAAATTTAACTTTGGTTCACTGGAGGACAGATAGATCCACTTTCCATCCTCTTTGCACTTGGAGACTTCAATTTCAAACCTTGGAATCACAACATAAAGAGCAACAAAACCGTATCCAATTAACAATTAATTTCCCAGCACTGTGATCTTACAGGTCACTCAAATACCTTTTAAGCAGCCACAAACACAATCCATTCATTGCTAATCAGGAGCATCTATTGCATCTTCAAAACTCTAATTTAAAAAAAAAAAGTTAACCAATTGCCTGCATTTAAGAAATCATTTGTGATCCAGTATTAACTAAAACTGAAACATTTTTAAAGAGGAAGACGTGCTTGCAGCTGTGAGGTGGGCCAAATAAGCAAGAGCATTATTGTTATCATCTGCATTGTTGGCTATTTTGTTCTACTGAAATTCAAACAACACTCCCTAATGACGCCCAATGCTGCAAGATGCTGGTGCTATAAATGTATGCACACCATGAGACAGCACCCACCTTCATGTCCTGATAGTCTCAGTAGACAAGATGTGCTGCCCGCCATGTCCTGAATCCCATTCCAGCACCTTAGCCACAAATCTGTCCTTCCACTAAGCCTCCTTCCCAGCCAGCCAGCTTTCACCCTGAAGTTTTCTGCACTGAGACCCCCTCTTTTTTTCCTGGCTGTCGATCCAGTCTGTGAAGATGAAATATGCCGTTAACCTTGATGCTTCCATGATTGATTGCAGCTCTTATCAGGGCTGCTGTATTGACACACACGATATATAATTTTTCCCTGGATTTGAATTTCTAATTCCCCTTGTGCTGGATACGTTTCTGAATTAGTCAAGTTTTCTCGAGTCAGAAGCATGAGCAATTCTCACATGCCCATCACTGTATGAAAACAACAGAAAGGGAGAGAGAGAAAAGGACTCTCAGGGATGATCTACTATAGTATGTTAGAAGCAACCTTAAACCTCACGTTGGTGCCAGCACCACCCCTCCAGTGTCCTGAGCTCCATATTCTGAGGCCGGATAAGTCTGCATAATGGTCAAATCTGGGGCCCAGCCAATGAAGGTATCTGTGTGGGCCCTGCAAGGAGGGTAGGAGAACGCTCTTTACACTTACATGGCTTCTTCTTGGTTTAATGGCCACATTGAAAGAGGATGGGCAAGCTTACAGCACCACACAACTCTTCTTGTTCTCTGCTGGCTGGTATTTTCCAGCCAGCAATTCAGGGCAGCCCCCAAGCTGTTATAAGTGGTATCTACCTTCTTTTCCAGATTCCCCCATTTTTGCTCAAAATAATTTAAAAAGATGAAGACTCTGAAACCTAGAGATAAATGCCACTGAATGTAGGATGTTGACTTGAGGACTCGGATGAGAAGGGGTAATGGCAAGCGTGCCATGTATATGGCTGCATGTGCCATTCACAGAGACATGTCGACAGGAGGAGAGCAACATTAAACCCAAATTCTCCAGGTTGGCTTAAGCTTTGGGAGTGCTTGCCTTATTTCAAGGGGTTGAAAAGTAGAAAAATATTCAACAACACTTGCGGCTTTCTTGCTCTATTAGCTATGGCCCAGCTTTTTCTTACCTCTCCAGCCTTAGCGGTGAAAGAGTTCAAATGGCTTGAGCAAATATTTGCAGGTGTTTATTACCAGATCAACTCTCACATCCTTCAAAAATAAATGGAGACAAAATTTG